CTACAAGAGGCGTCTCCTGTATTCATGCAATTGATTAACGAGGTGCTGCATGAGCACTTGTATAAGTCTACTTATATGACATTCTGATATACACCAAAACCATGGAGGAACATGTGAAGTTAGGGAGTGCAGTACTGAAAAAACTCAGGGCCACTGAACTGTATGCCAAATTATCTAAGTGTGAATTTCACCAGTATAAAATTGACTATTTAGGTTATCATATACGACATGAGGGGATAGAGATGGACCCAGAGAAAGTGCAAGCGGTCTTGGAGTGGATCGCCCCCCACACCAGAAAGCAGTTGCAAAGTTTACTGGGTTTTGTCAACTTTTATAGACAATTCATCCCCTCCTTTGCTAAGATTGCATTACCCATCACCAACCTGTTGAAGACAAAGGTTGAGGCCAAGGCCAAGCCTAGTCATCCCCTTGAGTGGACGATGGACTGCCAAGTGGCCTTTGAAAACCTCAGATATTTGCAGCCAAATCCATACTCAAAGATCCCGATACAGATGCCCCATTTGTGATCCAGGTGGATGCCAGTGATTTAGCTGTGGGTGCTGCTTGCAGGCTAACTCTAATGGTGACCTGCAACCCTGTGCTTATACGTCCAGGAAACTAACAAATACTGAGAAGAGATGGGCAATTTGGGAGAAGGAAGCCTTTGCGATCCAATGGGCCCTATTGACTTGGAGACATTTTCTATAAGCACAGAACATCCTTTTGAGGTATGGACTCACCATAAAAACTTGGAGGTCTTGAAAACATCCGACAAATTGTTCCCTAAGCAAGTTCATTGGGCGCAATACTTTAATCATTTCAACTTTTCCTTGCACTACATTCCTGGGAGAAAGAATTTCATGGGGGATGCTTTATCTAGACTACCCCAGTACATCAGTGTCAGACCAGAAGTGATTCATCTGGTCACCCCCTCGAAACAGCTGACTGCCCCCGTGGTAACTAGAGCCCAGGCAAAAATGGATCTCGACCTTCCCAATGACTTATGCGAAGAGTTGAAAGGGGCATTGAAAAGTGATGATTGGTTTTTATATCATGCCAACAAATGCACCCTACAAGATGGCTTAGCATAGATGGATACTAAACTTTATGTGCCAGCCAGTCTTAGGGGGACTGTGCTGCAAAGAGCCCATGATTTTAAAGATGCTGGATACTTTGGGTTCATTAAAACTTTGCTTTCAATGAAGGACTTAGAGGCCTATGTAGCCAGTTGCCCTATATGTGCAGTTGAAGACTCCCTGGAGAGCCAGCGGGTCTCCTCCAGAGTGTAACCAGCCCTAGTGCCTCATGGAAGGAGATTATATAATTGCCCATAAAAGTCTCGAATAATTTCCCTTTTCTCTTTATTGCCATAACAAACTTGGCCTTGGTCATCTACCCACATCAAATTTGTAGCTTGGTAATACAACTCCCAATTAGGCAAACCAATTCCTCCTCTTATTCTGGTGTTCTGTCCCATCCCAGGCCACAAAGTGAGAGACTAGAATGCCACAGTAAACCAGCTGGAAAAACACCGGGACTGAAGAGCCAAATTCACTCTGGCAGTAAATTGTCGTTGGCAGCTCTCCCAAGAAACTGTCAGCCAGACCAGGTAGCAAAAACACCTCTGAAGTTTATTTCATTCTCTCATTAGCAGCTCTCCCAGAATAATATATTCACAAGATGACCAGACAATAGGATCACGAGATAACAGACTTAGCAGAATGACTCTTACAGTAACAACAGTTTGACAAGCTGGAAAACACATGGACTGAAGAGCCAAATTCACTCCGACAGTAAATTATCGTTAGCAGTTCTCCCAGAAACTGTCGGCCAGACCAGATAGCAAAATACCTTTGAAGTTATCTTCTACACCAGCAATAACGTCTCTTCCAAAAACTCACAGTTTAACAGAATGTTAAGACGACAAGTATGACGGTCATAACAGATTCACAGTGAGAACAGTTTGTAACAGTGTTGGTAACAGTTTGTAACCAATTAAACAGTTTGTAACAGTTTGACCCGGACAAAGCTTGTGGGCTGACACACTTCCTTTTATGTCCTGGGGGTGTGTCCGCTTCCTCAGTAAACCCTGATTGGAACCTCCCCACAACTCCGGTTAGTTTTACTAATTAATCCTGAAGGTCTGGGAGCAAGACAAGAACTCTGAGATTTAAAGCAAAGTTTCAAAAACTCCCGTAGTCACATCATGTCCTGAGGATGAGTTAGCTTCCTGAATAAAACCTGATTGAAACATCCCACAGCTCTGGTAAAGTTTTCTTAATTAATCCTGAAGGTCCGGGAGCAAGATAAGAACTCTGAGATTTACAGCAACCAGTTTCAAAAACTCCCGTAGTCACAACATTCTGGCATCCTGCAAAAGTTTTAACTTTATTCTCGCTTTCTTATCTTGCCATATATATTTCAACACAATTTTATTTAAATCTTCAAAATAATCTTTTCCAAGCCTAACTGGAATTGTTTGGAACAAATATAAAATTCTGGGTAGTATATTCATCGATTGTTGATATTCTCCCTATTAATGACAGTTGGAAATTTTCCCATTTCACCAAATCTAGCGCTATCTGCTGCTTAAGTTTGATATAATTATTCTCTTTTAGTGTACTACATCTTGCTGTCAAATGTATCCCCATTACTTGATCTTATTCATGACCTGAATTTTCAATACATCCGCCAGTTCTTCCTTTTGTCTTGATAGCGTATTCTTTGTCAAAATCTTTGTTTTGTCTTTATTTATTTTCAAACCAGCCATCTTTCCATATACCTCTATCTTTTCTATCAATTTTGATGCTGTTTCTAGTGGGTCTTCTAAAATGAAAACCAGATCATCTGCGAATGCATGCAACTTAAATTCTTCCTTTTTTTAATTTTCATCCCTTTTATATCCTTTTCTTCTCTAATATTTCTGTTTAACACTTCCAAGGTTAACACAAACAACAAAGGTGATAGTGGGCAATCATCAATATACTCTTGTGTGTATAGTTTCCCATAATAGTCTCGTATAATTTCCTTCTTCTCTTTACTGCCATAGCAAACTTGGCCTTGGCCATCTATTAATTGCAATATTTTCCTTGATTCTTTCTCCTTTCTCAATTTATATGCTAACCATCTACCTGGTTTATTTGCATCTTCAAAATAGTTCTGTTTCGCACCTCTGATTTTCTGTGCTAGTTCTTCTTTTTCCATTAGTCCCATTTTATGTTTAACTATATCCATTTTTAACTTAATGTCCTTTTTCTGTGCATTTTCTGTAGCTCTTTTTCAAGTCCTTTATACTCATCCTCTAATGCCTTAGAGCAGAGGTCTCATTCTCGTGGCCCGCAGGCCAATTGTGGCCCACAGGATGATATCCTGTGGCCCCCACCGTGATATGAAAGTATAATATTAGTGTATAATATAAATATAAAGTATAATATAAAGTATACTATTATGTGGCCCAGCCTCACCCAGACTCTGCCTCCAGTGGCCCCCAGGTAAATTATGTTTGAGACCCCTGAACTAGAGCATACTAGACCAATACTTGAATACAGCTCATCAGTCTGGAACCCACATTACGTATCTGATATTAGCACAGTTGAGAAAGTCCAGAAATATTTCACAAGAAGAGTTCTCCACTCCTCTACTCGTTGTAGAATACCTTATGCCACCAGACTTGAAATTCTAGACCTAGAAAACCTTGAATTACGCCGTCTTTGGTCCGATCTAAGTATGGTATATAAAATCATACATTGCAATGACTTACCTGTCAATCAATACTTCAGCTTCAACCATAACAACACAAGAGCACACAATAGATACAAACTCAAGGTTAACCGCACCAAACTTGATTGCAGGAAATACGACTTCAGCAACAGAGTGGTCAATGTCTGGAATACTCTACCTGACTCTGTGGTTTCTTCCCCAAACCCTAGCAACTTTAACCTTAGACTGTCTACTATTGACCTCACCCCTTTCCTAAGAGGTCTGTAGGGGTGTGCATAAGCGCACCAACGCGCCTAGCGTCCCTATCCTATTGTTTTTTTTTTCTGTTATGAATCCATTTCAGGTATTCATAAGTATGTTTATACTTATACCATCTTATAATCACTTGACAAATAAATAAA